AACTGGCTTTGTCACAAGGGGGGGTTTGGTAGACCTCAGTTACTCCACAGTGCCATACTGTGACCAAAGGAGGGTGAAGCAAAATGACTGCATCCCATGAACATCTTATTGTGAAGAATGCAGGGCTGGCTAGGAGAAAGAGATTTGGCCCCAGGCTCCTTCCCAGCGCCTCCAAATTCCTGGAAGATCATGGGAAAGTTTCATAGATTTTTTAGGACTTTGTTTCTTTATTTATAAAATGGCTACAATACTACCATCTTGTGTAGCTAAAATGGGTAGAGTAGATGTGAAAGGACATTGAAAGGAGAGTTCAACCTGCTGCACAACTTATAGGCAATATCATCCTCATCATCTTCTTCTAGATCATCATCATCACCATTTTGTACTCAGAGATGGAGTGTGTGGGTTTAGATTATATATGACAGTCCTAGCTATCGAACATGATGTCACTTGGGGAGACCTAAAGACTATACCACAAGTATAATATTCAAATTTAAATATTCCCTGGGGCTAGGTGGGCAGCATAAATGTGTGGTTCATGTTGGGGGATAGGGGATTATGGCGTAGTCATGGCAAACAAAAGAGTTCATGCCTTCCCTAAAAGAAATCTTTAAACATGGTTGAGGACCAAGCAAACCAAATCTGTCAACTGACTTTGATCCACCAAACGTCAAGTTGTGATCAACCCCTATATGCATCACCATAAGCAAGAAAAGGCTAAGGATGGGGAGACAATACATGCATGCACACATGCACACACACATACATATACACCATATCCTTGGCAGATGCTAGAAGGTTCTATGAATAGGTCTTCCTCACACATTCATTCAATCTGGAAACACTTATGGAATGCCCACTGTAAGCTATATATTATGCTGCATATCAATCTTGTTATGCCAAATTTTGTACCTTACATCCTTCTATTTTATGCCCTTCCAAGTTTGGGTTGTTTGTATCAGTACTATATTTGCTGGTAAAGCAGATTCTGTATCTTAAGAAATGAGTTCCAGTCTCAAATTCACAAATAAAGAATTATTACAATAATAGCATATTCATGAAAAGCAAATTACTTATCTTAGCGTTTAACATCCTTGTAACTATTCCTGTACTTTTAATGTCAACAGGAAAAAAGTAATGTCTAAGTCTGGCTGATACAGTAAATTAATGTTAATAACAGTTTTGACACTAATAGCAAGTTTCAAAAGGAAAAACCTCCAGTCTCTAAACTGGGTTTTATTTCTTAAAAATCACCTCAGCTTGCTGTCACCAGACTTCTCAAGAATAATTCCTGCTACTATTTCTCTTTCACCGGGAGCCTGAAACCACTAGGGTCTATAAAGTTTCTCTGAAATTATATTATTTCCCTGCCTTTGCTCACTCCAAATGGAGAAAACATCCACCCCTCAGGTGACAATACCAGGGCTTCTCTAAACAGATATATTTCTGAATCTCTGTAAGCAAATGAATGCCTACGTGGTTTCATTAAAAACCACTAGCTGTTTCCTTAGAGCCTGCAAATTAATTGTAAAACTGTGAACTATTAAAATATGCACTAGATTAAATAGGAAATTTAATACTTTATGTCATGGAGACCAGAGAACAGGGTCTGTACTTGTCTATCTGTGTGTTCTTCCACAGAGTCATGCAAAGACAAGAACACTAATAAATTTCCCATGAATTAAATTATCTGAGTTGAAAATTTAAATAGACCTGCAAAAAATGAAAAGGAGCCAGGCCTTGGCTCATCCTCTCTTGCCAGCTCTTTCTAGAAGTCATTGACTCTTGCAGCCCTTATAAACCTACTATACTTCTCAGACTCAGCTGATAGAACAGGGTTGTCCTATAATATCCACCTCTATAATCACTTAGAGGTCACTAGGCTTCAAGCAAAGCATCTGTTCCAACTTCCCAAATGTTGTTCTTTTTCTATTACTAATTGAGTATTTTATTTTTAGATAATCCTATAATGAAGGAGCTCAAATGAACAGAGACAGCAGTGGCAACCCATAAGTAAAATAATTAAGTCAAAGTAGATTTGTTAGAGACTTCATATATCATAATAGGAAGTCTAGGCTACTTAAAATCAGGGAAATCAAGTGGAATAATTTCTTTTTGTTTTAAATGGGAAGTGGGCTTTAAAAGTATCTCTTTCATAGAACCCTCATCAACTCTTCTGACAGTACTGGTTATTTACTCAGGAAGAGCATTAAATACCAATAGAGTACAAGGTAATTTTCAGAATTTTCTTTTCCCTTTCCATAGTTATCATTCAGAGTGGTATACAGAATTTAGGTAAGGAAACCTGCTACAGTCTCTCTCTCAGTTTTAAGATTCATATCCTGGCTATAGGCTCCAAAACTTTCATGCCTTACTCTAACACTTGCCATAAAAAATAGGGAAAATTGTGGTGTGATAGGCATAGATGCCGGGCAAAAGCTTATCTCTTCTTTCTCTCTTCCAAGCAGTGTAAGAACCGGGTTCTTGACAACAAAAGATGACCAAGGCAGCTACATTTCTTTGTATTCTCCTCCCCAAAATATAAATGCCAGCAGTTGGTCCAAGAGCCCATTGACCTTGTGTCACAACACGAGCTCTGTGCTGCCACTGACTCACTTTACTTTTACTCCAAAAGTCTGCATCATCTCTAACTGGGAGACTGGAATCAATAATTCCATATTGATAGAACCTCTATAATACCGTGTTTCCCCGAAAATAAGACCTACCAAAAAAATAAGCCCTAGTAGGATTTCTATGCATTGTTAAATATAAGCCCTACCCCAATAATAAGACCTAGTGATGGGCGTGGAGCAGTAAGGAAGACTGGAATACCTTTTATCTGCCACAGCTCCCTTCTCCGAGCCATTCACACCTGCTGCGGTCACAGGCATCCTAATGTGCATGTGTGAATGGCTAGGGGAAAGGAGTTCATGCGTCACTGGCGCCAGCCCCATCAACAAGGTCGGCTCCTCCTGTCAGGTTCCAGAAGAAGATGACTTAATTGTATTTGAATAAATGTAGGTTGTTGTATTATACTTAATAAAAATAAGACATTCCCTGAAAATAAGCCCTTGTGTGTCTTCTTGAGAAAAAATAAATATAAGACAGTGTCTTATTTTGGGGGAAACACGGTAATAGACACTCAATTACCAAATGGCTCCCAAGCTCTAGACAAGAAATAGAAACAGATACCAGACCTGGCTTTAGGTGCTATTGGTACTATATTGATGGGTAAAGCAGAATAAGGAAGTGATATGGACTTGAAGTCTTTCAGGCTAATGCCCAAAGCAGAGACCACATAGTAGACTGAGATGAGCACCCTTCAGTGGCTCCATAAAAAGGATAAAATGAAAACACTCATCATTGTGGGGCCAAGTGAAACAATTACATACCCATGCTCCATCAGGTCCAAACAGTTCTAGAAAGTTGCCAATGAATTCCCTTGACTTCTCTTCCCACTTTTGAATTAGATCATGACTCTTTTCTTCCACCCTATTCACAAATTCCTTTGATCTTTCCTCCACATTCTTGACTTTTTCCTTCATCTTGTCTACCTGGTTCTGGAAACGATACTTCTTCTCCTGGTTGAAATTTACAAGAGAAAGAGGCAGATTTACCCAAAAGAGCATGAGAGAGATCAATCATTCATACTAATGGTCACATTTATTTCAACTTGCATTTGTTCCTCACCTAAAGAATCAGGATGTTATTGCTTCCCAAGAGCTAAGTTGATGGGAAGGCATATTTCTTACAAGTCACTTGTCATTAATCCATTTGGATATGTAAAGGGAATTATAAGCAGTTTTAATATTTTTTTGCTTTTAAATGTCTATGAGTTGAATGTACTTATATAAGAAAAGAACAAAAATATACAATTGTCCTTTTGTATGGGTAGATACTGAGCAAACATCCCTACTCAGTTCTGCTGAGACATAAACAGAAGTATGAATTGTGCACAGAACAGCCACTCAGAGGCTGTGTCCTCTGTTCTCCTCAGACATTGTTAAAACCAATATTGCTTGAAGTAAGTGGGTCACTGACTGGGTCTTAGAAACCACATGTTATACACGAACTAAAATTTTCACTGTCATGATGTTTTTCACTAAGGCAACTAAATTGCATCATTTTCCTTCAGGGGGAAGGAAGCTTTTGTTCTGCTAGATTCTCTTGAGTTGGATTTTTTTCCTTCTTACAGTTTTTCTACAGCAATGAATTAGCTATGTGCCTGGAAGCCATCGTTTATTGGGAGAGTCATGTGTTATTGGTAAATCTCAGTTTCTTCATCTTTCAAATGGGGATGATAATCATCTCTACATTAAAGGGTTGCTGTGACAGTAAAATAGGAAAAGGCATAGGTCAGACATAGTTCATGCCCATAATCCCAGCACTTTGGGGCTGAGGTGGGAGGGTCGCTTGAAGTCAGGAGTTTAAGAATAGCCAGGGCAACATAGCAAGATAGCAAGACCCCAGATCTACAAAACAATTAAAAATTTCCTAGGCCTGGGGATGTGTGCCTATAGTCCCAGCTACTCTGGAGGCTAAGACGAGAGGATCAAGCTTGAGCCTAGGATTTTGAGGCTGCTATGAGCTATAATTGTGCTACTGTACTCTAGCCTGGGCAACAAAATGAGACCCCGTCTCAAAAAACAAATAAAAGAAGGGGTACCACCTAGCCCCTATCACAATGGCCATTATTAAAAAATTAAAAACCAATAGATATTGGCATAGATGTGGTGAATAAGGAACATTGTTACACTGTTGGTGGAAATGTAAACTAGTACAACCTCTAGGGAAAAACAGTATGAAGAGTCCTCCAAGAAATAAAAGTAGATCCCACAATCCCACTGCTGGGTATGTACCCAAAGGAAAAGAAGTCATTATATCAAAAAGACATCAGTACCTGAATGTTTATCATAGCACAATTCAGAAAGTGCAAAGATATGGAAGCAACCTACATACCCATCAATTGATGATGCATAAAGAAAACATGTTATGTGTTATTTATATACATGGACTACTACTGAACCATAAAAAGAAATGAAATAATATCATTTGCAGCAACTTGGATGGAGCTGGAGAACATTAGCCTAAGTGAAGTATCTCAGGAATGAAAAAACACACACCTCATGTTCTCACTAATAAGCAGGAGCTAAACGGTGGGTACACACAGTCAAAGTGGTGCAAAGGACATTGGAAACTAAGAAGGGGAAAGGGTAGGAGGGGAGTGAGGGATAAACACTTACCTATGGTTACAATGTACACTATTCTGGTGACAGGCACACTAAAATCCCTGACTTCAGAATTATATAATTCACTCATGTGACAAGAACACTTGTAGCCCCTAATGTTTTGAACTAAAAATTATTATTAAAAAAGATAATGCACATACTGTGCTTGGTACAAAACCTGACATTTAGTAAATGCTTAATGCGTGTTTGCTGTTTCATTAGTATTAAGTGGCATGGGCATTTACCTGTGTTACCTGGTGACAGTGGTATCAAAACTATAAATATAATATGAGACAAAGGGTCTTCCCCCATGAAATCAGATGTTTTCTCCTAGAGTGGAAATAGGTTTATCATTTCCTTTACTATGTGAAACTAAAGTTTATTTTGCATTTCTGAATTTTTTGAGACACGTGGAAAACTGCGAAACTGGGTCAGGATTCCCTGACCTAGACCTTCCAAACCTTACTGCAGCCTTGGGGTGTGGTATGAGATTCCTGTGCTGTCCCTGAGCTACCTGTTACACATGTATGCTAGGGGAAGTTACTCTGTCTTTTACGACTTACCATGTAATCTCAGATGAGCTGTTCAACCTCTCTGGGCCTCTGTTTCCTCATCTCTATGTTAGACATAGTATTTATACCCACCGTCGTAGGCTTATTGTAAGGATTAAATGAAATAATCCAAGATGGGCACATGAGCTCTTTTATTTTTAGTTGTTGGCTTTATATCATTCTCCCCCCTCCTCCCCATTCATTCTGCACAGAAATAGTTACTACATAAAGCTCTCAGGGCAGCATAGACTAGGAGGATGCGCACTGGACTGGGAGTCATGAGCTCAGAAGCTGCAGCTGCCTGCACCTCTCCCTTACTGAAGGACCTTATCCAGGTACCTTCTCTGGGCTGTTTTCATCATCCCAAAATCAAGGGACTCACACTGGCTGACTGACTCCTATCAGGACCCTGCCACCTCTGTGGTTCCATGATTCATCTATATGCCTATCCAACACATTCAATTTCGTCTCTGAGCTGCAGCCATGATCATGGTCACAGGAAGGCAGCAAGCATATCAGCACTGTCTGCATGGTTCCTTGAGCTAAGTGGCTTATCTAAAGGTTTAAAGAGAGTGAGCAATAAGTTTTGGAAATGGCTCGACATGCTTGGATGGTTAACTGAATTCAATTTAAAAGAACAGACAGTTTAATTTATTGAAATAACCAGGGCTTTATTCTCTGTAAGATACCAAATAATCACTTTGACTGAATTATGTTCAGTCACTTGTTCTGGTGCCACTCGAACCCAGCATTTTCCATTTTGTTGCCCAGCTTTTATGAAGCCACAGAGCCTGGACTTTCCAACACTCCACTCATGAGGACAATTAATAATCACTGATTTACAATTAATGAACCCCCTCCAATTTTGAAGGTACCAATGATGAATTGGGTGATCTGCTGGATAATTATGGCTATTCATAATTCTTAAGTATCTAGTTTTAAAGACAAATTATGCTTCAGAAATATAGTATCTATTTTGGGGGATTGGGATTCTGTATGGATGGAGGGTTCTTGTTTTAATCAAAGACATCAGCCCCTCAGAGGCCAGACAAATACAGTTGTCTGGAATCACTAACGTCACCTCCAGCAACTGGGCTCCCTTCTTTGCTTTTTAACAGCTTGTTTTGCTTGTTTTAAAGATTGTTTTAACAATTGCTCTATTATTAAACTAACAGCAGCTCTGTGGGAACAATACGGTAGCACTCTAGAAGGAAGCCAAAGACTTTAGACTTTATTTAAGCAGCTATAATTTCTTTGGACAATAAAAAAAGGCTGTTAAGGTTTCTAATGAGCATCTGTAAGGCCTTAATCAAATGAAATTTAAAAAAACGTTAAGACAAGAAAGTTTTCTCTGGGTTTAGCTTTCCATTGCCTCTGTCCTCCTTCCTACCCTTTGAGCAGAAGACAATTCTTATCTTTCACAAGGGTAAGATCTCCCAGAAACCCTTCAACCAAGTCTAAAAACTCTAAAGAGGGAGGTTGAGGCAGAAGCAGGAAAAGAAGAAGCTCCTTTATAAAATGTGAAGCTCATTTACCTATATTCTTTAGTTAACTTATGATACCTCTTTGGTCATTGGTTTCCTCATCTATAAAATAGGGATAATAAGCTCAGCTCCCGTAGCACAGTGGTTACAGCACCAGCCACATACACTAAGGCTAGCAGGTTTGAACCCAGCCCAGGCCTGCTAAACAACAATGACAACTGCAACAAAAAATAGCCAGGTGTTGTGGCGGGCACCTGTAGCCCCAGCTACTTGGGAGTCTGAGGCAAGAGAATGGCTTAAGCCCAAGAGTTTGAGGTTGCTGTGAGCTGTGACACAACAGCACTCTAATGAGGATAAATAAATAAAATCGGTATGATAATACATCATTGGGTTGTTATATGGGTTAAATGAGACAATAAATGCAAAACATTGAAGAACACTGCATAGCACATAGTAAGCACTTAAAAAGCAGAAGCAGTGGTGGTATAATGTGGTTGTCTGAGAGGGTGTGTGGTGGCACACTTACATTTATAAAGCTGACATTCAGTTCCTTGGCTGTATACCCTCTCTGGAGGTTGCGTCGAGCATAAACATCATAGTCGCGGACAATTCTGGTGATGATGTCCGAAGTTGAGATGCCTTCCGTTCTCTGGGTTGGAATAAACATCCCTGTGCAGGTAGGAAAGAAGAAAGAAAAAGGAAAAGTTAACAATTGCCTCAGTTGACCCATTTCCTTTAATGGCCTCCCTTTCCAGGACAAAGTTGGAGCTCTGGGGTGTGCCAATGAGGTCTTCATGTCTAGCCCTAGCTGACTCCTCCAGCCTCATTCCCATACATTCCTCCCTATCACAAACACTATGTGTTCACCATCCCAGACTATTCCCAGGATGCACCACGCATGTGCCAGGCTTCTGATGTTTGCTCATGCTGAGCCCTTCCTTTCTGCCGGGGAGACCTTGTACCTGCCCACATCACCTGCACAGTGCCGCCTCATCCCATAAGGTCCAGATTGAAGGTTGTGCCTCTGGGAAATATTTTCTGACATCACTAGGCAAAATCCACAATGTTTAGGACATAACTTGTCTTCCATCAAGAAATGTATTTTTCATGTCCGCCTCCATGTAGAGTGAACATTTTGAAAGCACAGATATTGCTTAATTGTATTTGTAACCCTAGCACCCAGTTCAGTGCTCCTGTATCTGGAAGGTACTCAATAAATATAAATTGAGTGAATGAAGAACAACAACTGAGTCAATGAATTGGATCGGGGCAACTCCTCGTCTTCTCCAAGGAAGTCAGTGTCTTGTTGTACTGAAGGAAGAGAAGAAAGTGTATACACTTTTGTTGTCTCTAATGGAAAGACAGCTCATGGGAGTGCTAGATGATTTTACCTTCCTCAGAACAGTCTACTCTGTGTGGTGGTTTGACTGCTCAAAGGCCCTTTAAATTAAAGTATATAGGACTGAGTAAAAATAAACAACCAAAGATGATCCCAAGTTCTAATAGAACTTCCTCAAAGTTTTCAAAGATATATCTGTGTCAATCAATCCATACAGCACTATAAATAAAGAGGTCACGAATATTACCAAAGACAAGACGCTACATTTGTACTGTCAATTGAAATAAATGACATGTTATTGGCAACTGTGATCTTTCTACTCAATATCATTAGGACCACTCAATCAAACACATCAGGCATGGGACAGCATGATAGGCAGAGCCTAGAGACAAAGGCACCAGGTTCTCAGTTTTCAGTCTCAGGCAAGTCACTGAAATCTTCTGAAGACAACTCATTTAACCTTAGTCTCCTCGTCTGAAAAAGTGGTGGCTGGACAAGATAACCAGGACTCACCTATGCCATTCACCTCTCCCTCACTCTCCAAATCCAACCAAGCTCCCAGTCTACTTCTTATATGTTCCCTTAATTCACCTAATCCAATACCATCTTCTTCAAAGATCACAGCTACAGTCTGAAAACCAGTCTCTAATGATGTCATTTTGTCTGTCTCAACCCACAGAGCAAGGCACACAGAATGCTCTTACTGAATGCAAATCAGAGGCTGCTCAAACCTGTCAGTGGCTTTCTGCTGTCCTCTGAAACCAAAGCCCCTGTGCTGCACAACTGTAGGGGGACCATCAGCATTGTATTCTATGGAGCTGGGCAAAAGGCTAACTCTGACTTGGCCCCTGCACACTGGACTTCAGTATCCTGAAAATGCAAGCTTCCCTCCCCTCACTCTGCCACAGACACAATCTCTACCTGGTAACTTTTGGTCATCCACTGGGTTTCAGGTTTAGCGTCACTTCCTCAATAAAATCTCTCAACAATGAGACTAAGTCCTAAGTCTTTCTGTTTATTATTCCTTCCATGGGTCACTCCCTTTTCCTGCACATACTGCAAGATCTTTCTAAAATAACTTGTTCAATAACTGTCTTCCCCACCTGGCTATACGCTATATGAGGGAAGGGAGTACACCTTTCGTGTTTGCTTCTATATTCTCAGCATCAGTGACAGGCAGGCACTATGGGAAGGTTTGTTGAATGAATAACTAACTAGATGAGTATTGATCTGTAAGTGCCTTTCCAAATCCAGTTCTCTCTGAATATTTCTGTCTTGCAAGCCCAACTAGGGTGTTCCTTTGGAGTTTTCTTTTGACATCATCTACACATTCACAATCCCAGCAGCAGGGTGGCACTGCTGCTGTTAGAGAGGAAGCATCCTGTTTCCGACATTCTGTAGCTCAGAAGACATAGTTGGGATTTGCCATTAGGCCAAACACTTGTTTTTATCCCTTTCTAGGAGGAAAGAATTTAACACAAAAAACCAAATGGAAGGAAGAAGGGGCAAACACCCAAACACATGGACATAAATAGCACTGAGACTGAGCCAACTGTGCAAGGGGCTCTAGTGGGTGGGGGGACCCTGAGTGGTCCCAATTTGGGGGGCCTAGGATGACATTCTCACCTTGGTGGGAGCAGCAGGAGCTTTTTGGCAAGAAATCCATCCTCCTATCTTTCACAGACAGATATTTTACCCACACCCCTGCTGCTAAAAAATTAAAATGATCCTCTAGCTACTAATGGATTTTAGCAAGTCATTCAGACATCAGTGACATGAGCTCCCCCTTTCTTTGAAGCCAGAGGTGAGGTCTCTGTGTTTGAGTAACTGAAAGTACATCTGGGCTTGGGGAGAGATTTGCTTTGGCTGGTTGGGAGGTAGGTCTCTGAAAGAAGCCAAGCCCTCTGTTGACATAATGAGGCACCCGGCTTCCTCCAAATCCTAATTATTGCTCTGCTAAAAATATTCAGTAATGAGCATGATCAGAGAACCTTTTTTATCATGCTTTTTAGAATTGCAGCGTTTGGTTATGGAGCTATTTTAAGAAGCAGCAAAGCACATGTTAATGAAGGAAACTTTCAACAGTAGTAGGCAATATTAGAATGATGATGAGTAATGTGGACCTTACAGTCTATTTAATTTAAGCTCCATCTTCTCAACCAGCTTTGCTACAGGATTTTGACATGTAGTTCTGACAAGCAGAGCAGAATGTTGTAAAGCTTTAATTCATGCCCTTGATTTCTCTGGTTTCATTTAACTTGATTCTTTACTTTCATAATAAACCATGATTAGAGTGCAAAGCCAAATGTGGATGCTCAAGCCATTTCTAAGCATCTTTCTCCCACAATGAACTCTGGCCTTCTCTACTTGGGCCCTGGTCATTACTGTGACTCTCCCTCCTGGTAAGGAATCAGCAGAGCAGGTAAATGGATCATAAGGAAGAGTCCTTGTACGCATGAAAAGTCACACATAGTCTTATGCCTGTGTTCCCAGGGCAAATAAACCACCACCTGACTATTCAATTTGGAAAAAGAATTGTAGTGGAATAAAGATGGCCACAATTTCTTCCCCTTGAATCTGGGCTGGCCTCAATGACTTACTTGTGTTAAAACAATGTGGTATAACTGACTTCCAAGACTAGATCAGAAGAAGCCTTGTGGCTTCTTTCAAGGTCACTTGCTCCCCTCTCAGCTGCTGTTCTGTGAAAAACCCAAGCAACATGGAGAGGCCATGTGTGGGTGCCCCAGGGACAACCAAAACTGAGTTCCCCGATGACAACCAGCATTCAAAGCCAGTCACATAACTGCACCATCTGGGAGTCCCAGCCCCCACCAACATCTGACAGCAGCTGTTTGAGAGATGCTAGGCAAGAACCACCCAGCCAAGCCCCCACTAAAATCCTGCCGCCCACCAAATCATGAGCAAAATGAAGCGGCTCTTTTAAGTCATTAACTTTGGGAGTTGCTTTGTTATGTAATAATAGGGATGCTGGATATGTTGTACATGTTCTTATACCTAAATGACTGGAACTCAACATTTTACTCCCTAAAATCAGGGGAACAACTTATTCTTAGCTCACTAGAGGCCACTTACCTATAAAAAAATCCACTACCAAATGCTTGTTCCTACTCTACCAGGTAGCTGAGGAACTATCCCTCCCCAGGAAACACTGTTTCAATTAGCCCTGGGGTAACTCAGCTGGACCAGAAGCCTTAGTCTAGATCCTTCCTGCTCTATATGAAGTCTGTGGACCCATAACACCTAACAACCTGGGAGCACGTTAGGAGTGGGACTCTCAGGCCCCACCAGACTACTGAATCTGAATCTGAATTTTCACAAGATTCCATGGACAATCTGTAAGCACATTAAGCTTGACAAGCACTGGTCTATAGCAGGTCCTTATGGCAATTTTAGGAAAGGAGCAGCTGACTTACAGCTCAGATCTTACAAAGCCTTAAAAAGGTATTAATCATCCCATGCCATAAGCCATCTTGATGTAACTGAGGCATCAGCCGGTTTCTTTCCCCCTCTCCCTGCACCATGTTCCTCAGTGCCTCAGCAGCCTTCCAAGTCTGAAGTATGTGGGGTTTCCTTTCTCAGAACTCCTAAAAACAAGATCAGGATTTGAGAATGTCAGGCATCCCATTCTTATCCAAAGCTCCTGACCTCTGAGGGAGCTCTCTTTCTTTTTTTTTTTTTTGAGATAGAATCTCACTATGCCACCCTCAGTAGCGTGTTGTGGTGTCACAGCTCACAGCCACCTCAAACTCTTGGGCTTAAGCCATTCTCTTGCCTCAGGCTCCCAAGTAGCTGGGACTACAGGCGCCCACCATAACCCCTGGCTATTTTTTTATTTTTTATTTTTTGGTTGTAGTTGTCATTTTTGGCAGGCCTGGGCTAGATTCAAACCCGCCAGCTCCAGTGTATATGGCTGGCACCCTAGCCACTGAGCTATAGGCACCAAGCACTAAGGGAGCTCTTGTAAGAGGATGGTACAATCCTGACCACCAGCCCTGCTAGGGGTGGCATGGAGCTTCCCAGGCTTGTCCTTTGGGAGGGAATAAGTACATTCTATGTAACAGAATAATTTTCTGAACTATGATTCAATGTCGCTTTCATTTCTAGGGATCATGTCTCTCCTAAGGCCCTGTTCCCACTAATACTGAGACCTCCATCACTTCAGGGGGAGGCCAATGTAGCTGAGAATACATGAAACCATGTTCAGCCTTTGACACCCAAGACAGGTTCGTTTTAGGGCTCGTTGGAAAAAGTAAAGTTATGAAAGGCAAGAGCCAGGCTTTGGGGAATACAAAAAGGATGTTCAAAATCCCAAAAGTGTCACTTGAATTATCAAGAACCAGAGGCTGTGCAGACTTGAAGTATAGAATGTTTGGCTGTAAGCCCTGGAGTAGGAAGGCATGAAATCAACCAAGGGACAGTTTCCTTCCCTCCAGGAAGAAGAAAAGCCCCTCCTAGGGTTGAGGGAAGGGGCCCAGAAAGGGATCAGGAGGTGAGCAGCAGAAGTGAACGGAACAGGTTCTCTTACTCAGGTTCAAATCCCAGGGGCAGGGGCAGGGAAGAAAGAGACCCCTTTAGAAAGCTCAGAGAAGGGGGCCAAGCACCCTGTTTAGTGCCAGGAACTTTGGCAGGAAATGATCTCACAGAAGCCAACATGGAGAGGTCTCAGGAGAGCATTCCTCCTGGTGGGCAGGTCAGACAGGGTCTGACACATCATCCTCCCACTGCCCAGTTTCCTTTGACCTCCAGTAGATTATGGAGGACATTTTAAAATTGGAGGGGACGTTGTAGAGAAACACGAAGGAAGCCAAGATTTAAGGTTAGCATGATTGTACTTCAGAGAAGGGAATCCTATACTGGGGCTGTGGCCAGGACAGGCCAAAGCAGAGAGTGGCTGGGGAACAGAAGGAGGAAGTGACTTCAGTGTCAGAGGCTGTGGTAGGGGTCTGGTAGGCAGGGGTGATGGCTGAGCAGGTCTTGGTACCCTATAATTAAAGGTCAGCAAAAACCACATCCATGTCCCCTGCCAGGCCAATATATAGGCCTCAGAAACTTAGATCACCCAGAAAACAAAAGCAAAAACTTCACTCCACACACTCTAAGTGAAAACCTAAAAGAGTTTGAATTACTTCAAATGGCAATGTGTTTTTTCTATCATCTGTGGAAATCAAGGCTCCTAGTTGAATTCAGTTCTAGTAACTACCCCCACCTCAGTGGTGCCTTCCTTCATGAGGGACCGGATCAAAGCAATTCCCCTGCCTCAGAGCAGTGTCTGGTTCAATGTTACAAACAGAAGTCAAAACTAACCCATCCTGCCAGTCTCCATCTCTACCTTCACCTCTACACACCCTATACTACGAAAACAATTTATTTTCTCTAACTAGTCCATCTTCCTTCATATAGTCCCACCTTTGGACACACCTCCCTAGTCTACTGTATATACACTGTCACAGGCTTATGGTATTTTGGTGGAATTATTTATGTATGTATCTGCTCTCTGTGAAGGGTAAGGGCTGTCATATTTGTGTCCCATTTTCCCTCAGACAATTATTGCTTGTGAATGTTTTCAGGGGAAGTAGGGATGGGGAATCTGCACCCTTAAGGAAACTTGTGGCCCTCCTGGTCCTTTAACTGAATCCAAATTTTACATAACAAATTCTCTCACTAAAAGGGCTACAGCAAGCGTTTCTTGTCTCATTTGGTGATTACAAAAGAACAATTCTGAAATCATAAGGCTGCAAATTCCATACCCTTGAACAGGCTGCCTTGGGAGGCAGGGAACGCCCCATTCAGGAGCTATGCAAACATTTGTTCTACCAGGAGTTGACAATGATGCTGAGGAAGGAATAGGAGCCTGGGCTAATGACCCTGAGCTATCCACCCTACCTCAAGAGTCTGAAGGTCCATGAATATCAGGAAAAGATTATAAAAGCAGTAGGCTGAGAATGGAGAATGGTGGGAGCAAGCTGGGAAGAGTTTCAGTGGTCTCCAGGAGTGGGGAAGATGGCTATGATAGCAGGTGTCAACAACGAGAGCAGCTCTAGTATAATGTGAGGTACATTAGAGTTCTTGAAATCCCTAAGCATACAATAGCTCGCTAACTAGAGAATCTGTGCTTAATACATGCAGGAAGGTAAGCGTAGACAAAACACAAACACACCTATAATGCTGATAGATGAGATGCATGATTGTAAGATACTGAAAAATAAGCCAAGTCATTACAATGTTGATCCATTCTTTTTTTGCCTTTGCATGTGGTATCTGACAATATTACTATCACATAACAGGATAACACTAGAAATATGGCAAGACTGACTTTAGAGATAAGGAGCCCAGATATTAATTAGCCAGTTATCTGTCATATTCTGGAAGGAAATTTATTGGGAGTATAAAATAATTGCAATATGAAGACTTAATTATGAATGGGCAAAATGGCTGCCCTTTGAACAATAGGGTCCTGTGATTTTAGTCTGATGAGCCCTAAAATCAAGGGTCGGACCTAAAGTTGAGTAGTTTGGGGCTCAGGTTAATTCCTATACACACATAAATACCTCATGGTGTCTGTGTTATGACTGAGCCTTAGCACGCATCAGCAGAGGCCTGCAGAAGCTGCTTGGGAGACACCTGAAGTTCCAGTTCCCCATATGTATGTTGTATGTGCTGCAGCTGTCGTGGGGCAGATGTCTCTTATTACACCTGATTACAGTGACCCAGTGGAGAGGTGAACATAGGGGAAGCCTCACCTGCGTCCTTTATAGGCTTGTAAACATCATCAGAGCCAGCAGAAGAATACGGAATGTCATCATGAGCCACAAAGTCAATCTGTGAAGAGAGAAAAGAGTAATGTCACCACTGGGATAGATGTGCATGTCTATGAATTTGAAGGGGACTGGCGATCCCATAACACCTTTTTGAAATAAGGCAATTGCATATTACATTTATAGCATGGATCTGAATCCTTGGCTGCAAGGCATCTCCAGCTATCTCCATTTCCATGAGCTAATGGGAAGTAGAAGAACAAATGTTTGCTTTTCTCCTTTGTTGGTCCCTTTTCTTCTCCTACCTCTGATAATAGGGAGTATAAAATAATTCTTGGCCTTCTGTCCTCTGCCTCTAAACTTTCTCTTCGAAAGAATTCATTTGTTCTTTGGATTTTAATCACTCCTGCTATGTTGAGAAACCCAAATCTCCATTTCTTATCCCATTTGTAGAAATAGGCACCCACACTTAAGTGGTAAGTTTTTCTTTCTTTTGAGACAAGGTCTTGCTCTGCCACTCTGGCTGTAGTGGTGTGATCATAGCTCACTGCAGCCTCAAACTCCAGAGTTCAAGTGATCCTCCTGCTTCAGCCTCCCAAGTAGGTGGGACTATAGGCTCATGCTACTATGCCTGGCTAAACTTTTAAGATTTTTTTGTACAGATAGGGTCTTGCTATGTTGCCCAGGCTAGTCTCAAACTTCTAGCCTCAAGTAATTCACCTCAGCCTCCCAAAGTACTAGGTTTACAGGTGTGAGTCATCACTCCCAGCCTAAGTTGTATTTTATATTATGAAAATGAATTCATCTATTTTTTCATTTGATCCCCATAACTACTTCATGAAGTGGGCAGGGAATATGTTAATACCTCATTTGGAACATAAGATATTAAAACTAGAAAACTTGTTAGATTTGCCTAAAGTCACTTAGCTGCCTAGTGGTTTGATGACAGGTATAGGCTGCTGGGGAACCTGACCAGGCTACCTGAATTCCCACTGCAGCCCTCTTCTCTTTTACCACTTCTCGCTACCACTTTAAATTCAACTTGTCCTGAATTTAATTCATCCTCTTGAAAACTGGTGCTCACCACCAATGGCATCTTTGTTTTTTTAAGTTTACCTAGACCCCAAACCTTGGAATTGGCTTTCTTTCCCTACTTCCTTCATTTGCCATAGCACACAAGTCACAGGTTCCACTGTGTGTGTGTGTGTGTGTGTGTGTGTGTGTGCATGCTTGTGCATGTGTGGACTTCCTTACTATAGGCTCTCTCCTCTTTAAGCTGTCCTGCTCTGGCAGAGGGTATCCTCCTTAAGTTGTCTTCTAGTCATCCTTTTGCTTGCTAATCTTCATCCATTTCCTAAGACATCAAGTAAAACCTCCTTGCCTACCTTCCCAAGCCCTTTACAACAGGGCTTTACTCTACCTTGAGAGGTTAGTTTAGAGTGGTAACTTAATTTGTTGGATATGGTTTCCTGCCCCTCTACTTACTAGCTATATAACTCATAATTTGGTGACAAGAATTCAATCAGGATTTCTCTACCTCAGTACTAGTGACATTCAAAACTGGACCATTCTTTGGTGTGGGGACCTGTCCCGTGCATTAGAGGATGTTTAGCAGCATCCCTGGCTTTTACTGACTAGATGCCAACAGCATCCTTGTAGCTGTGACAACCAGAAATGTCTCCAGACATTGTCAAATGTTCCTTGGGGGAAACTTGCCCCACATTGAGAATCACTGGATTAAATAACATGATTATGTAAAAGTGCTTAAAAATTATAACTAGTACATAGCAAGTACTCAATAAACACTATTATTGTTATTATTATTAATATTTGCAGTATTCAATCTTAGTTCTTCCTCCTCTTCAGTGTATAACAACAACAACTACTTCTCAGGGTAGCCATGAGACTGAATTCAACTCAAATTAATAAATAGCATATTCTTAGCACAGTGCTGGGCACATGTCAAATAATAAATGGCAGCCATCTTCATCATTCTTTTCCACCATAATGCCTAGCACATGTTGAATATACAATAGATGCTTAGTAAAAATGTGTTAGTGATTACTGGAAGTAAATCATATTGTACTTTTCCCTTTTTCTTTTTTATTCTTGCTGGGAAATTGTCTCCTCCGCTATTACCCATGCACATTTATCAGTGTTCTCTATTCTCTTCTGCATCGTGAATTTAAAAATAGAAGAGAAAATTCTTAGAACAGCTTAATCTTATTTTTTTTTTTGTACTGCTTATAAAAGGAAAGAATAGCTCCTAATGTGGGGCTGGTAGGGAGATACAAAGCACATAATTTGATGCAGATCAAAAGAATTTCTCATGTTTTCAACTAATAAAAATCTTATGTTAGTAGGAGTCTCAGGGTTGCAAAATCATAGCCTTAAATGCTGATCCCTGACCTTCTGGATAAGATATGTGTTCATTTGTTCTGTGAGAAAAAGATGTCTAGGAATCTATAGGTAATGATGGTGGTGATATCATGACAATAACACTGTTGGAGCTCTTGCTATGAGCCAGCCAGTATTCCAAATGCTTTCCTTAGATTATCTCATTAAATCCTCAAAATGGCCTCATGAGGAAGATACTAATATCATCCCATTTTATACTTGAGATAAATAAGTACAATGTGGTTAAATATCTTGCTCAAGGGCCTGCAGTTAAGAAGCATTAGAGGCAGGATTTGGACCTGGGTGGTCTAGCTCCAGTGTCCACACTTGAGGAAGTGAGAGGGTCCCAGTCCCCAGGGGTGGGCAGAAGAGAAGTGCTACAAGAGACACCACACCACGGTTCCTGAAGTTCCCTTTTTTAGAAACTGGAAGTCTTTGGGCTCTCTGCAGTCTTGGCTGCAAAAACAGATTCCTTAATCCTGCTACTCACAGAACATGGGAGAATGACAAGTACCTTGTGTTTTTCCAGAAACTCTGGTGTGAGTGTCCAAGGAGCATCTCTGATTACTTCATCCACATAGCGACAGTGTCTGAGAGCTTCATATCTCTCTGCTTCATTCATCACAGTGAAACCTTTGAATTTGTGGGTGAGATCATCGCTGCAAACTGAAACAGGCAAATGCATTAAGTGCCCGTTACCTGGCCCAGGCCCTGTTCACAGCCACCCTGGTGCAGACATAGCTTCTTCAGCAAGACAAAAGGAGCACAGCTTCTTGAGGTGCTTGGCATAATCGAACGCAGCTTTTTACAGAAACAAAGGAGAGGGAGAGTAAAGCAAGCTGAAACCCACCGGCAATTCAGAATTTTACAGTGCTAATTACATCTGCATTCTCCACTGAGGCTTTTATTAAAATCATTCTCCACTCTACCTAATATGACTTTCATATCTTTTTATTTTCCCATACCCGCTCTCAGTGAAAATTACTATTCAGAAATAAAATGACCAAATGAACAGAGACGAGAGAGAGGAGAGGAGCCAAGAGGCCTGAATTAGAGAAGGTTTGAACAATCAATTCCAATTCTTTTACTAGCTCATTGTACTTAGCAACGCAAGTGTGACACACTCCCTCTCTCTCTCTCTCTCTCTCACACACACACATACACACACACTTCTGCTTCCTGGACTGAGATCCCACACATCAGGTCACATAATTAAGAGGAGAAAGTCACATCTAGCAGAATTCATCCTTCCTCTCTTATCCCTTCTAGATCTCAGGTTCCTGGACTCTCAAATGGGGATTTTAATATCCACTATCAGCCCTAGAAAGGATTTTTTAGGGGTCTACATACAAGTATCTTTTTTTTTTTTTTTTGAGACAGAGCCTCCAGCTGTCCCCCTGGGTAGAATGTCGTGGCATCACAGCTCACAGCAACCTCCAACTCCTGGGCTCAAGCGAGTCTCCTGCCTCTCCCTCCCAAGTAGCTGGGACCACAGGCGCCTGCCACAACGCCTGGCTATTTTTTTTTGGTTGCAGTTATCATTGTTGTTTGGCAGGCCGGGATGGATTCAAACCCACCACCTTAGGTGTATGTGGCTGGCGCCTTAGCCACTTGAGCCACAGGCACCGAGCCTATATACAAGTATCTTAAAATAAACTGAACAATAAATATTATTCACTAGCCTATCTTTTGATTAGCCAACACAGCTCTTCTAAGGTTTCCTATATGTCGGAAAGAAATGTCATTGTGGGTACAGTCCCTGTTTAATCAGAATCTTGGTGAGGGTCTTACTGTAGCCATTCAGAACTACCCTAACTGCTTGAGATCTTTTTCCTTCAAAGTGTTACGTACACACAATAAATTCACTAATTTTAAGTACATAAGCTATGGCTTTTAAATTTAAAAAATTTTAATTGACACATAATAATCGTACATGTTTATAGGATACAGCATGATGTTTTGATACATGTATACATTATATGACAATCAAATCATGGTATTTAGCAATCCATCACCTCATATTTTTATCACTTCTTTGTAGTAATAACATTCAAAATCCTCTCTTCTCAGTATTTGTAAATATACAATGCAATATTGTTAATCATAGTCACCCTAGCTGTGCAAGAAAACACCAGAATTTATTCCTCCTATCTAACTGTAACTTTCTACCCACTGACCAAACTCTTCTTATCCCCTACTCCCTACCCTCCCTGGCCTCTGGTAACCACTGTACAATTCTACTTCTATGAGATCAGCTTCTTTAGATTCCACATGTGAGTAACATATGTACACAACTAAATACTATTTAGCCACAAAAAAAGAATGAAATCCTGTCATTTGCAGCAACATGGATGGACCTGAAGGATAAGGGAAATAAGCCAGACACAGAAATACAAATACCACACGATCTCATAAGATGTGGTTTAAAAACAAAAACATGATCATTTTCTTGGAACCTAATAATGGCCCACATCTAGAACCAAATCTGTTCATAAGAGGAGGTGCAGCCAATGACCACACTTAGCATCCTTGGAAAATCATCTATTGCAGTCCCTTCACATAACTGTGCATTCAAACCATCAACAAAATGGCAGGCTCTGCCTTGAAAGTGCACCCAGAAGCCATACCCTTCTCACCGTCTACACTGCTCCCACGCCAGCCCCTTCACCATCCCTCCCACAGATTATTGCTATGCCCTCCTAACTGTCCTGATCCCACCTTGCCCACTCACAACAGCCTGTTCCCATCAGCCAGACTTAGAATCCTCCTTACATCCCTCAGGATAAAAGTCAAAGTCCACCAGTGGGCCCCTGTAAGACCCATACCTCTGCCCATGCCTTGCCTCTCTGGCCCATCTCCTATGGTGTCCCAGTCTCTGGCCTCCCTGTGGTTTCCCAAAGCCACCACAAATTCCCATCCTCAAGGACTCATCCCTTCTTCTCCCTCAAGTCTCCCTCCCACTTTACTTCTCCCCAGGGCACTTGTCTCCCGTTTCATTTGATTTTATTGTTAGTGTTCCCCTATGAACTCCCAGAGGGCAGGAAGAGACTTTTGTTTCATTTTCTGGTGAATAGTACCTGGCCCCTAAGAGGCTCTTAACAAGTATTTGTTGAATGAATTAACAGAGCCTGATACATATGAGATGTTCAAAAAAATGTGTATTATTCTTTACAATAGATGTATATTTATCTGCAGGTACATTTTGACAACATCCATGCAAATATGAGATTAATGAGTTTCAAGATAAATATGTATATACCCACATATCTCTATGCCTACTTCCTGAGACGTTCTCCATTGCAACAGTTTGTTACCAAAACAACATCAACCACGTGGCTGCCTCAGAAACTGATGACCATCAGAATCACCCAAGGATCTTGTTAAATACATATAAAGAAGGCCAGTCCACTCCCTGAAATTTTGATTCAGTAGGTCTGTGGTGGAGCTCAGGCAGCTCCGTTTTTGAAAAGTTTCAGAGAGGATACTGATGCATACAACCTTTGTGAACCCCTAAAACATACTATAAACAACTTGAGTAGAGAGCCTTGCCCATCTTTGAATCACCCATAATGTCCGGAAGTAGGGGGGGACAGGTAGTAGGACCATAATAACTATGTATTGATTTATTGACTGCATTGGCTTTTGACTTCATAAATAGGAATTATTTATGGGCCATACTGTATAATCTAAAAACTGAACTAAGATGGTTAAAATGTTCTTTTAGGACTTTATTAAAATGCTACCTCAAGAATCATATTGAGTAGAAATGCATTTCAGATCCATAATTTTCTATTTTAAACAGCACAAAACTGGGGAAGGCCTTATCCTCCCCCTTTTTGAACTTGCACCTGAGCAATTTGGTATAACTTCTACATGACCAAGATAATGACCTACTGACAGAGCACAAAGAAAACAAACATCCTGTTTATGCCAATACAGGGTCCTATTTTCATATCCCAGGAGTGACCTCAAGAAGCAGCTGAACATGCTGACCAGTTATTGTCTAAACATTAATTATGCCCAGAGCAGCACTGTTGTTCTTGAGTCTTGGCAAATGTACTCTGACAACCAGATGGAGAATTCTGAGTGGTGGCATTCCATGGATGAATTCACTGAGCTATCTGGGAACTCACGCTGCAGCTAACCTATGCTGGCAGCTCACTGTGCTCAAAATGAAAAACTCCACAGGAGAGAAAATATAGCATAGGGGTTGAACTTGGGAGCCCAGCAAATGTAGGTTCTAATCCCACCTTTGCTACTTATCACTGGGAAAGTTACTCAAACACTCTAAGCCTTGTATGCCTGGTCTTTAAAACATGATGTATTTCTGAGAATTAAATTTGATAATCCACACAAGCAGAAACGAATGCTCATGTTAGCCACTTATTAAGAGTAGTAATAAAATAGGCTCATTTATGGAGTTATTCCTCTGATTTCGTGCTCTTTTTCCTGACTCCACTCCAAGCAAGTGTCCAGACCCCTTTGTCCAAACTTCCTTGCATGAGCTGTGGGCCCAAGTTATTGGTAGACAGCCCGCCTTCCTGGCTGCTGTTTTCCGGAAGCCAGAGCAACTTGGGGGGCTTCCGTTAGAAAGAAGACAATGAGAGAAGAGATTCCTCCAAATTGCAAGGAAAAGGCCAAATGTCTGTGGATCTCACTAGCAGCAGGAGCAACGGCAGAACCTCAAGAGGGATGAGTACATAAAGCCCTAGGCACAGGGCTTCCACTTGGGTTCAGAGCATGGGCACTTTGCCTGCAAGCGCATCTGCTCCCTTCTAGCAATTACGTGGGCTCAGACAGAGAAGATGACACAAAAATGCCACTGGGCTAAAGATGGGAGGTTCCTCTCCTGTTTCTGTAAATATTTTGGACACTTGTTTGACTCTGGGGAATTGAAGAGAATCCGAGAGACTGAGATTGAATTTCCTATCAGTTAGGCAAAATGGACTCTTAGTGGAATATTTCATTTCAATTAAAATATAATAAAACATGAACCCAAGTTTATGGAGTAATATTTATGTCTACTATAGTAGTAATAGCAGTATGTTTGTTGTTGTTACTTTTATTCCTCTCCTGTGAGGCAGAGTTGGGTATCTGGTGATTCTCATCCTTTAAAAAAAATTTTAGGGAAAAAAACTCTCTAGTATAAATTTAAATTCCATGGCCTGTTTTTAAATGGCACGAACTTATAAATTACAATGGAGAAAATAGAGTTTTACAAGTAGATAATCACAATTCACTAAAATAATGCCAACAGGTGAGCTTGCATAGAAAAAATTTCAAAATATTACAGGCTACATGCTTAAAAATTAGAAACATAGGTATTATAATCACAGTGCAAAACCATGACAGTCGTGGTTATGTCTGTTACCACCTAAGCTTGAGAAGTAGACTGTAGTGCCTCCATTTACACAGTTTCTGGCCTTTTAATAAATTATTTCTGCCAAATACCATGTATTTCCACCAAATACCTGTCCATGTACTTCCTCTAACCAAATTGGTTTCATGAATGATGCCTTCACTCCACTCAGGGAAATTTCTACAGCAAACCTAACTGTAGATGTAAGGGAGACCACAATTTATATAGAAGGCTCTTTTGCTCACAATAAGCATTTTATTTGCTGACTACACATATAAGATCAAAAACCAGCCTTTCAACCAATAGC